CTGCTCTGCCCCTAGCACCCTGGTTTCAAGTCACAGCTAAAATCCCATTTTCTCTGGGACCCTTTCTCATTCCTTTTAAATCCTAGTGCTTTTTATTTTTGATCTCCAATTTATCTTGTGTATAAGTCGTTTTACATGATTTTCATATGTGTTCCCCATTAGGCTGCAGGACAGAGGCTGTTTTTCGGTTTTCTTTGTATCACCAGTGCTGAGCACAGGGCCTGGCACGTATTAGGTGCTCAGTGTTTATTCACTGAGGGAGGTAGATATCTACCTACCTATGTCCATGAAGTTATCTAAGGTAGATAAGACATGGGATCCCATATCCACACCTGATATCAGCTAGGTAGATAGATACAGTTTAGATACAACAGTCTATTGAAGGGAGGTAGATAATGGGATAAATAGGTAGGGTACACAGATATTAGAGTTTATGGGTGGGTAGGTAGATTTCTAAATAGGGAGGTATGCAGATGGGTATAGGAGAGCAGATAGAAAGAGAGAGCTATTTAGATACATAGGTAGATATATCTTCTCTGTCTTGGTAGCTGATATGTAGGGAGTTAGATATCAACACGGACAGAGGTAGGCAGATAAAGGCGAGATAGAAGTGAGCAGAGATCTAGATGGGGGGAATGGAGAGAGCTGAGTACTTAGGTACTTAGGTACCTATTAGACACTGTACCTGTTGGTCTAGCGATCGGATATCTAGGTAGGTAGAGACAGATATCTAACTAGACAGATAGGTATAGGGTTTACCTGCACCCTTAGCCACCTATCTGCTGTTGTTCAATCATGACCCTATTTGGGGTTTTCTTGTCAGGGATACTGGAGTGGTTTGCCATTTCCTTCTCCAGCTCATTTGACAGATGAGGAACCGAGACAAAGAGGGTGAAGTGACTTGCCCAGGGTCACACAGTTAGCAAGTATCCAAGGCTGCATTTGAACTCAGGAAGATGAATCTTCCTGACTCCAGGCCCAGCACCCTATCCACTGCAGCATTGTTTAACCGCTGATATCGAGATATCTGATATCTAGGTCCAAAGCTTGCAATCTAGATAGCAGGTAGACATAGAAATCTGGGAATCATCCACACATAGATGATCACATAATGTGAACTGACAAGGTCAGTAAGGGAGCAGAGAGAAGATGGTCCAGGATGGAGCTTTGGGAGGGGAGTAGACACTGAAGCAGTTCAAGGAATGGAGAAGGTGCAGGCAGGAGACACATCAGAGAGGGGCGTCTGTGGAGCTGAGAGGGAGGACGCCACACTGGAGAAGGGCGTGTTCCCCAGTGGGAGATTAGTGCTGTTTTGAGCAAAAAGCAGAGGTCAGGGGAAAGGCCAGCAGGCAGCGCCTGGGAGAGACCACTCTTGGTGGGATTCTGATAGAATGAGTGGTGCTGATGGATGTTGGCAAGGTGGGACATTGAGTGGTGCCTGCAGCAAGGAGTGGGCTCTTATGAGTGGCCAGGGGAGGGGGTCTCACGCTCTCTCCCCTTCTGCCCCCCACTCTTCCCCTCTCCCTCCACTCCTCCCTTTCCTACCCCTCCCCCTCACCAGCTAGACACTCACCCTTGCGCCCGCGCGCACACACACACACACACCCCCATCTGTATGTTTTCAAACTGTACCATTTGCTTTTCTTCATAGTCATGCATCTCATTTGTCCTCCAGGTTTTATTCTAGCTTGGCGAATATATCAAGGCAGAGGGATAATTTGTTAAAGAAGGGCAGCATATTGTCTGTTGTTCCAATGACCTTCTTGGAGATGTTTGGAGCCTGCAGCTTCTCTGGGAGAGAGTACTTAATTCTGTGTCCTATGGGGAGCATCTGAGCTTTGGGGAAGATGCCAGCAGGCAGGCATTCTGCCTTAGACCAGGCCTGGTCCCTGTGGCCTCTGCTTAATGAATGCCTGATCACTGACTGAGGACTGTGAAAGGAGGTTCCCCAGTTTTTATCTAAAGGGAACATCGAGGTAGGTTTTCCTTTGGAATTCTGTGCCGGGGTTGGTTCAGCAGACAGACCCTGGCCCTCCCCCATCCTTCTGTCTGCTTTGCCACACAAACACATACATTAAATAATTGAAGAAAACTCAGAAAAAGAACGATGGAGTCTGAATGCAGATTGAAACATACTGTCAGTTCTCTCTCTCTCTCTCTCTCTCTCTCTCTCTCTCTCTCTCTCTCTCTCTCTCTCTCTCTCTCTTTTGTTCCTTCTTTCTTGTGGTTCCTCCCACTGGTCCTAATTCTTTACACCATCACTCATGTGAAAATATGCTTTATATGAATGTATAAGCAGAACCTATATCAGATGACACACCGTCCTGGAGTAGGGGGAGGGAAGGGAGAGAAAATTTGAAACTCAAAATCTTATGGAAGTGAATATTGAAAACTAAAAATAAATAATAATAGTAATAATAAAAACAAAAAAAGTTCCATTTCACAGGCCCAGTGTGAATGAAAATATGAAGTTGTCTCAGCTTTCTTTGCAATACTTTAGAACTTGTAGGGGTTTTTCCCCCTAGAGATTCTTAGTGTAACTTTTTTTTTTCATGTGATTTGGCTCTTAAAGGGGGAAAAAGGCATGTGTATATACATAGATATCTGTATAACATACACAAGTTGAGGGGGTGGGTGGGGTTGGCGGGTGGAGCAGTATTGTAAAGTGGCAGGAATCCTGAAGAGGCCTCCAGAGACCTGGGTTCAGATCCATCTCTAACCCATCTCTTCTCTGTGAGCATGGCCACATCGCTTTCACCCCCCTTTATCCCTCAGCCAATTCTCGGCTGAGGAGCTCCCTTCTGTCCTCGGGGCTGCTTCCAGTCCAGGAGGTTAAGGAGCCAAAAATTCTCATATCAGAGTTAGAAAGCAGCCTACTATCTTGGGAGACGTGAGTGCTCTTCTTCCTTTAGTCCTGAAGTGCTTTCTGAGAAACCTCTCCTCCAGTGTCTGGAGCCCTCCAAGCAGAGTCTGTTGGCAGGGACTGAAGAGTGCCCTCTGGCCACTTTTCTGTGGAAAGGAAGCCAAAGAAGCCAGGCCAAGAACAGAGGAGTGTGCTCACAGCCACGGTTCAAGCAGCCGGTGAGAGCTGGGTGAGGACCCAGGTCACTAGTGCTTCACCCGAGCCTTTCTCCCCAACATCAGCAGCTCTAGGACCCTGTTCCTGGGCACTCAGCCTTAACCTCAGGCCTTGGTGGTGTCTTTGCTAGAATGGGTCCTGCTAGCAACAGCTAGGAGTTACTCAAGGCTTAGCTTAGTAGTCAAATACCAATAGATATTGCATTAGAAAAGTACAAAATGCAACATTTACATGGAGCTATTGAATTTTGTGGTTTTCACTAATCACCAGTTGACAACAAATAGATACATCCTTTTCCTGCACAGAATGGGCAGAAGAACCCTCTTCTTAGCAGAACTCCTTTGTCCCTGGTCCTCTTTGGGTGTGGTCCTTCTCTGTGACCACTGAGCTTTGTCTGGGTGGCATACCTGGCAGCTGGGGGCACCGTCTGGGCATTCCTTCCTTCCTGGGAGGCCAGCTACTTCTACTCCATATAGCAGCCAGCCTGGCCTCTGAGGGGGTCCCATCTTTAGCTGACAGGGCTCAGGTGCAAAGGAGCAGGGAACTGGAGCCATCCATTCCGTGGGGATGGGGCAGTAGGGCAAGTGCACTGGATGAGCCGGGGCCTGCTCTTACAGCCCAAGCCCTGACCTTTTCCTGCAGGGAGCCCTCGGGTATTTGGTCACTCCACAGGCAGGTGATCTGTGGCAGATCTTGGCCCAGTTGCTGGGCACAGAGGTACCAAGAATGAAGCCACTGTGCCCTCAGGTAGCTGCCATTCTATTTGGGTAGTCCTTGCCAAGGACATGTAATGACCCCGTACATGTGGGGAGGCTGGGAGGCTGGGCCCTGGCAGTGGTGGCTTCCTGAAGACCACGGGATGGGAGGGGCAGGAGAGAGCTTGCAGGCCAAAGGGTCAGGAGGAGCTGGAGCTGAGGGCTGGGAAAGCTTCCCTGGGTAGCCTCCTTCCTACCCTATTTAGCTGTGCCTTGCCCTGACCAGAGTCCCAGGAGCGGAATAGCCACCCTGAGAGAAAGAAACATCAGAACGACAAGCACTTGCATTCCTACAAGGCAGGCACCGCACACACCATTTAATCAAAAGCCAGGTAACAATTCTTGGGATATTTTAAGTTTGCTAAAGAAGCACAGCCCCCTTTTATTAGCAGTAATATCCAAGAGAGCTGTAAAATGACCAAAGTGAGTCTGGCCACTCTAGTGGCTGATAACTGGAGTGTCCTCAGTGTTGAGTCGGCATGTATCAAGCCTCTACTATGTGCAGGTACTGTGCACTATCTGCTCAGTCAGTCCTCCTTTCTAAAAAACAGTGCCAGGGTTTTAGTCATGGGTGTGCTCACCCACTATTAGCAGGGCCTCTGCCAGGAGGTCGCTGGGAAGCCCAGTACTTTGGGTGTATATTCTCTGAGCAGACCTTGTCCACACCAAATACTGCCTTCATTTTAAATTTGGGGGTCTCTGTGGGGTCAGAAATCAGCCCCTTTAAATGGCGCCCTTTGGAGATCTGGAGTTTCGTGCTGGGGCCACATAGTCAGTCACTATATGGACGTGGTGCAAACATTCTGGAAGGGACGGTGGAATTCGGGAGCAAAGCCACTAGAATGGCCCCGGGCCTCGTGGATCCCGGCAGCCTCGGCCTGGGTCAGACTGGGTAGGCCCTGCTCGGAGCTTTGCATCCTCCCGGACTCCCGTTCCTTCTCCCTGCTCCGCGGGTACACAACGTTCCATCCACCTGCAGGTGCAAACTCCCAGGGCCTCCCTTCCCCCACCAGCCCCCCCCCCACCTCTGCCTTTCACGTGGCCCAGCAGGGCAGGCCTGAACCTGGGGTCTCTGGGCGGTGGACAGGCCTCGGGCGTGGGGGCGGGGCTGCCCCTACTTAGAGATCGAGGGCCGGGGCACTGCGGACGAGTCTGTTCGCCTTCCGCCTCGTCTCTGATCGATCTCCCTCGAGTCCCCGCCCGCCCCGACGTCCTCTGGTGAGCCTTCCTGAAAGGCTCAGCTCTATCTCCAACTCGGGCAGGGTAAGTAAAGTCAGGAGGAGCTGTGCGGGTCCGGGGAAGGCAGCTGGGTGGGCAGGGGACTGTAAACCTCACTTCAGTTAAAGGGGCATTTAGGGTTAGCTTAAATCTGTAAGTCAAGGTGAACTAGTGAATGAAGGCTATAGTTAATCATTGTAAGATATCAGCTTGTCCCAGGAACATTTCTGTCTAAAGGTTTTTGTGTTTGATATATTAATGACAACAACAACGATTAATAATACAAATGGAAGAAGATAATCATTCTAGTAATGCGTTCCCACCAGCAGTCTTAACTTTGCCCTTTCCAGACTCGTACACGTCATCTCATTTGCTTCCCACGAGCCCCTTCTGAATTAGGGTTAGGGCAGGTGGTGACAATGACTAGGATGATGATAATGGCCGGTAGAAAGTTCAGTAGCCGTCGCTGTAAAGTTTGCCGAGCGCTGTACCTTTGCTGTCTCATTTGATTGTGATCTCCGTTTTACAGGTAAGGGAATTGCAGATTCTGTAGGCCACGAGTGGACTCATTATTATTCCCAGCTAGTTATTGGCAGCTCAGGGAAATATGGAGGCGTACAGAAGGGATGCACTAGGCTCTTTTCAGGGAAAAGAAGAGGAGAGAGGGAAAATAACCATGGAAGTAGAGGCAGCCTGCTTCCTGCTTAAGCAGATTTTCAGTAAGAACTTAATAACGAGGCTGTTCCCCAGGAAAGAAGGAGGACCCGAGGCCAGCGGTGACTGGATGTAGCATCAAGGGGAGGGGTCACGAGTCACCTTAGAGGAAAATCTGCCCGCATTGAAATTGATGGGCGAGCCGGCCCCGTGGGTCTGTCTTGGGGATATCTTGAATCTGAGCCCCCAAAGTGAGTTTTCGTTCTTGCTTTGGTTTGTGGGTAGACAGAACATTTAGTCCGTGCTTACCGTGTGCTCCACACTCGTTAAGTTCTTTGTATGTAAATGCAGAAGTAATCGCAGCCTGCGGAGAGCTAACGGGGGAGGGGAGGTAGTGGCCCTGAAGGGCTTTCTGGCCCGGGAAAGCGCAAAGACATTGAATGAAAGAGTGACCTAATAACACCGTCTTCCGAGGCAGTGGTAGTGGGGGTTCGATCACTGTTCTCCGAGGGAAAGGGGGAGCAAAAGCAGGGATCCTGGAGGGCCGCAAATCACTAAGATGAGAATGCAGAGAGGGAGAAGGCCCTCTTGCTCTTCTTCCCACTGTCTCCTCAACGTAGAAAACGTTTTAAATTTGGTCACGTTGTCCACGCCTGTCTTCTCTTAAGGTAGAAGGAACAAGTAAAAATGGTAGAGAAGAAACTGTTTCGGTGACGTAAGACAAATTCTAACGCTTGTCAGGCTTTGAGCGCTCAGCTCTCTGTGCCTCAGTTGTCTGAGCCATAAAACTTACGCTCCAACAAAGGATATCGAGTGTCATTCGAGCTCTATGGCTTTTTAAAAATTCTCATTGATATCAATGATTTTTTGTATCAGATGATGATTCAAATTATTCAAAGAATTTCAGCGTCCTCAGACAGAGGACATAAGATACATGGAAATAGTCATAGTAATCAGGCTCAAATGTTGTTTGCTTAAAGAAATGAAATTATGTGAGTATCAAGGTTATTAATTAGGAATAAGATAATATTCTAAGGGTATTGTTCATACTGAAGCATAAAATATTAATTGGAAGTTTGATTTTGGCACAATTAGAAAACAGGGAAATGTTTAAAGTGTTATTACAAAAGTAGTGATGGGGTTTTTGGTACTAATTTCTGAAATGAGATATAGAGTTTCATTATAAAACCCAAAAGCATAGCCTGAAAATGCGTCTTGTCTTTTGGAGGAAATTCGATGCACACAGCCTAATTACATCATGATGGGTAAGCAAATGTTATTCCAGTTTGATTTAAAGAAGCCAGAGGCAACAGCTTCACGTGTTTTTGGTTTCTTGATTCGCTGAGTCCTGGATCATACAGAGCAGATAGAATTATTTCCTCCCTTAATACTCCGTTGTGGGCAGATTAATTGCTTTTAATCTATAGGCTACCCTTAGTTAAGTAACCGATTATGTCCCAAAAGTTCACATGCCACTTGATTATTGGGAGTTTTGAAGGCATTTTTCCTTAGAAACAGTCTTACATGTAATGGCTGAGTCCTCGGGCCAGAACACAAAAGCATATTAAGATAAAAAATAAATACGGCTGAATAAATACAGTACTATGTGCGAACGATTGTAGAATCAAGTGACTTTATAGCAGTATTTATATGCAAAATGGACTCCTAATTGCTCCTTGGGATGTGAGACACGGGCAGTGGGACCAGGTTCTCTCTTAGGCTGAAGTCAGTGGAGAGAGGGCAGTGAGCTGGGGGAATGGACTGGCAGAGACAGAAGCTCCAGGTAGTGCCAGTGCGGACCCAAGGACACCTCTCCGCCCTGTTCTTGATTTTCCAGCTGTCCCTCTTCTGTGGTGCTGTGGGCTCTGGGGAACGGCCTCCTGGTCACATTTGACTGCAAATGCCAGCTCTGTCCACGTGTTGTTCTTCTCCAGCACTGTTGTGGAACAGAATATAATCCCTGCCCTTCTGTGCCTGAAGCAGGCCCTTACACTTGGAAATTTTCCCAGCAGTTTTACGGTGATTAAGATAGGAAGACTTGAGTAATCGCCCTGGCCATGTGGAGCATAAGGTTTGTGTCAGGAGACCAGCAGAGCTCTCAGACACGTATTGGAAGTTCAGAAATGTCTGTAGGGGGATGAATTTGTGCATATTGAATTTTTTTTCACTTAACACCACGCAGGGGAAATTGTAGCTGTTACTGAGGCTTTGGGGTTTGCACTAAAGGCTGAAGGAAGATTCCGTGTTCCAGAGGAACAGTACGCTTGGGTTGGCTTGGACTTTGAGTTACAGAAGCTAGAGTACATGTGAAGACTTAGGGATGAGAAGAGTAGGATGAGGCTATTTGAAAGGGGAGAAGGACAAACGAGGCTGAAGAGACAACTCTGAGCACTTGAAAAACTGTTGGATCGAAGTAGGTGGAGGTGATGATTGGGAGACAGGAAGAGAAGGGAAAGAAAGGGAGCTTCCTACAACTAGTCGTGGTGTTGGGACAGAGGAATGAGAGATGATAACATAAGAGGTTGTGCAGGGACAGACATTTTGGAAGATATTTTTAATTGAAAGACATTTTTTTAAAACTATATTTATGAAGAACTGATATTTGAGGTGGCAGTAACTTTTGTTCCATTCAAGTCAAATTTTGGAGTAATAGGAGAAATGTGGGCCATCCTTCTCCCTTTTGTTACAGAACTCCAGAAGGCTGTCTGTAAGCCTCTCCTCCTCCAGCAGTGAGTGGGACCTTTGCCTTCTCTGTCCTCTCACTCTCTTGTTACCTTTTTTTCCATCTGGCTTTCAGTCTCATCATTTGCTTCCATAAGATTTTAAGTTTTAACTTTTCTCCCTGTCCTCCTTCTCCCCCCTCCCCCAAGATGGTGTACAGTCTGATATAGCCTCTACATACACATTCATGTTAAGCATATTTTCCCATTAGTCATGATGTAAAGAACAATTAGAACTAGTGGGAGGAGCCATGGGAATGAAGCAAGAAAACAAAACAAAGGAAAAGGTCAGCAAACAGTCTGATTCCATCTGCATTCAGACTCTGTAGTTCTTTCTCTGGGGGTGGATAGCAATTTCCATCATGAGTCTTTTGGAGTTGTCTTAGATTCTTGCATTGCTGTGAAGGGCCAAGTCTATCAAAGTCATATTTTGCAGCGTTCCAAGCAGTTGTTGTTAAATCATGAATTCTCATCCCAGAAGCTCGAGTCTTTGAATTTATGAAATGGTAAACTACTATATGCATGGACTGATATGTCTTACATACCTAACCTATTCTACTGATCTACCACTCTGTTTCTTAGATCCATCACTCTATTTCAACTAGTTTTGATGACTGCTGCTTTATAACACAATTTAAGATCTGGTACAGCTAGGCCAGAGAAGGTTAAGTTCTTTTTTTTTTTTGGTGAAGCAATTGGGGTTAAGTGACTTGCCCAGGGTCACACAGCTAGTGAGTGCGATGTGTCTGAGGGCAGATTTGAACTCGGGTCCTCCTGATTCCAGGGCTGGTGCTCTATGAGCTGCGCCACCTAGCTGCCCCAAAGGTTAAGTTCTTGACCAAGTGTCTGATGCCCAGATTTTTGTACAAATGATCACAAATGTCATATTTAATAAATAATAAATTATATAGCTATAGCAGAGAGAATATTTGAAAAGATTTCATAAATCAGATCATGTGATGTAACTAACCAAAGCATTTTATTTATTATGATGAATCACAGTACACTGTATAATATTTATTAAGCAGCCGCTGTTGTAGGAATAGAGAGAGAGAGATGTAACATGTGCCCTGATTTCAGTCTAATAGAGTGACGTGAATACATATACTTATGACATAAAAGAGAATGTTACGTTAAAAGGAGATGTCCAGGCCAAGTGAGAAAAAGAGCCTTGCTCTTAGCAGGGAATTGAAATTGACAAAGGGAAGAAAAGGGAAGGGGGTAGTCTATTATATTCCTGGAGGAATGGTGTGACCAGAGGCATGAAGACCAGAGAAAAGTCTAATTTGTCTGACAGTAGTTCAGCCGATATGTTGAGGATGATATGATATGGTCTCTATAGGCTATCCAGGTGGAGGGATTTGGGAAACAGTTGGTGATACAAAACTGGAGTTCAGTAGAGAGATTAAGGGGGGTAATATGAATTTGAGAGATAGTTCCCAGAAGGAAAAATTGTCTCTGTGGGAGTTAAGGAGTTCACCCAGTGAGATGGCTCATACTCTAGAGGTAGCAAGAGAAGACGAGCTGTATCACAGAAAGCAAAGGAGAAAATAGTGTTTCAGGAGGGGGAGGGGGTGAGGAAATGGTGTCAAAAACCTTTTAAGTCGTGGAAGATAGTTAAGATGCATTTTGATGATGTCATCACACTTCTGTTTGGCTTTCTCCCTACTT